CTCGATACTATTTGAAGGTGAGTTCTATTTTGATTGTTTAGAGCCTAGGTTCTATACAAACTGCACCCTTATATAAATCCAACAGCTTGGGCATGTATAATGAGACCAGTCCATTTTAGACAACAAAGTCACAATCATCCTTATGTATTGGATCTAAAATCTGACATCTTGAGCATGTCACAAAGTTCAAAAAAGTTTTATTTTATGTTTGGAAAAAGTTTATATAAGGTTAATATCTTAAAATTTAAAATTTAGGTGCATGTCTAAATTCCTTCAAAAAAAGTTGTTTTAATATTGAAAAAATATCTAATTGATATATGTACAGATATGGAGAAAAAAAAAAAAATTCAAATATTAAAAATAGTACATCTAGCAACACATTATTTGGACCGTCTATTTTCCAAGATTTTCATGCATTTATAGATCAGTTTGATTTGAACCATTTTTTAAGTTCAAAATTTTACAACTAACGATAAAATAAATTCTCACACCATCTTAAAATTTTTCTACACCGAAATTCCATGATAAAGTTGGGGGGCGGGGACACTTTAATTTAAGGTTGCAACCTTATTAAACCCAAACCCTTTGTGCCCACTCAATCACACGCTCCTCACCCTTACAATTTCACATCTAACAAGGGAATAATGATTGTGACCTCATTCAGCCTGCGATCTTACTATATAGAGGACATGGTTTCTATGACTCCATGGACTCAAATGCACGGCCCTTAATAATTTATTTGTGAAATAGAGTTTAACCTTAAGTTTTGGGGAATATATAATCTTTAACATGTAGATTAGTAATCTATAAAAATAAATAAATTTTAAAAATTAGAAATAATATATTTTTTGAGAAAATATTTGAGCAGTTGATTTTTATTTTTATTTTTGAAGACTATCAATTATGGTGTAGATCTACACTTTTTTTAATGGATGGTGTAGATCTCCATGCTTGCATGGTTATACCTGCCGACTTAGACGTATCAAGTAAGGAAAATTGTTTCATGTGGGATGGACCGCATGACCACATACGTGATCCAAAAAGTGTAAAGCATCCATCTTAAAGATGGATGCAAGTAGGTGTTTTATCTAAAACTAATAGACATTAACGATTCAAATGTTTTTTTACTATAAACTTTTTTCTAATTTTAATTTTTTTTATTTTTTTATATTCATGACCTTCATATTAAAGATTACATGTACTTAAAAATTAAATAAAAAATCCATCCTAGAAATATATTTATTAAGAGGCCCACATTTCTACATATGCGGGCTTGGCCGCATAGAAACCGGGTCCACCAAACAATTCTCCGTAATGCATACTTTTCCTATATTAAACTGAGTTCTTCATTATTCACTGTCACTATGTTCATTCATTCTGTGCGAACCCACTATCATGGAAAATTTCATATGCACTTCCAAATTCCCCTCTGCAAATACGGAATGATTGTGTTTCTTAGCAGTGCTTGCCAAGTTTGAGGAAACCCCATTTGCTTCTAAAGAGGAAATAACCCATCATTTGTGAAGAATGGCGCTTCCAACGCCATTACAGCTTCTTGAGCCACCCCATATTTCCATGAAAATGGCGTCTAAAGTCCCTTCTTCTGGTTTTCGCTTCAAGGTTAGTGTTTGCTTTTTCTTACGTTTTCTTTTGTGATTGAACTCCTTTGGGTTTTGATTAGGGCACAGTTATGCTCTTTTAGGGTGCCGTTCGTTGTTTTTTCTCCATTTATAGTGATTTATTTTTGGGTTTACTATGTTAATTGGTTCTCTATCGGTCAATTTCACAATCGTATATATTTACTAAAGATATTTTAGTTTTTTTGATAATCAACCAAATATATTTTATTTTCTGACTGTGACTGATTATTGTGGTTTCTTCTTACTTTTTGTTTCAGGGATTTTCACTAACTTGTGTTTTCCTCTGTATTTATTAACCAGATATGAGTCCGTCAATATTTGATATTTTCTTTGATTATGTCTATATTTCTATGCATGCATTCTGTTTATGTTTACTTGCAATACTTCGGGGTTGCATTCTATTGAAAGGGGAATAAATTGTCATGGAAGGGGATTGTAGCCTAGTATGGTGGAACATATGTTTTTTCCTCAAATTCACAATTTTTGGCTGAAATTTGGTTCTCAGTCTGTGAATTTAGCTCAACTATATCAGACGAAAAAGTAGAAAATGCCTATTACATGTTGTATTTTGTTTATTGAGGAAAGGGATTGTCTACAAAGAGACCATTTATCTTTCGTACATAGGGGTCACAATCATTCTCACTTATTAGAGTTAAATTAGATGGCTTGAGGTGACTCACAAAGTCCGAGAGTGCTTTTTGAACTTTGTATGTATTCAATGACGCTTTTAAAACCACCCATTTTGAAATTTAAGGGACAAGAATGATTGTGACCTCCTTGTACAAAAGATAAATGGTCTCTTTGTAGAAAATCCCAGAGGCTACAAGGAATGTGGCTAAGTCATTGGAAGTGTTCTGCGCTCACGCCGCTGGTTTCAGGTTCTAACAGTTGACAACGACTTGTTTTTTACTTCTTTTATTTTATCTCTAATGAAATTAACCATTTGTATTTCCTTCATGCTTTGTCTCTCTTGTATGGTGTTGTGATTATGTTAGAGAGAGATCATAGGAAGGATTATGGCCTAGTAGTGTGGAGCATAGACATCAAAAATTCAGTCTAAGACATGTTTTCTTCAAAAGGACTCCAATTTTTAATTGAAAATATTAAAAGGAGTGAAATTTCAATATACCTTCAGAAAAAACTCATTTCATTGAATGAAATGAAATATTGTCATAGAATATTATTATAATTTTCCTCCTTATCCCCCTACTCCACCACCCCCTTCACCTTTCTTCCCTATCACCACCCACCTCCATGTTGGTACTGAGTGCATTTTTTTTTTTTCTGAAATAATCTACCACTTGGTTGTCACCCTCACACAACTAGTGTCCCTTTCTTCCCAGCACCACCTTTCCTCAATACCCCTGAACCTAACTGGCTCAATTTCTTGGTGCCTCTACACCCCAACTTAGCATCCAATCTCACTAACATTGACCTCTTCATGGCCGATCCCCTTAGCCAACCCTTTCCCGTTCTCCACCGCCCTCTTTCATCCATCTATACTCCCACCCCCAAATCTCTCCAGAGGTTCTTACTATTATAGAAACCAAGGCTTTTACATCCCATCAAGACAAACACCCATATCAAATGGCCTTAGAATCCAATGGATCCTTGGATGGAATTTGGGTCACTTGGGACCCATCTATTCATACCCTCATCTCCAATTTTCTAATGACCTAACCATCTCTCTCTGATTCTCCAAAAATTCCAACAAATTTAACTAGAAGTTCACTACTGTGTATGCCCCAACAGATCCACCCATAGGAAAAACCTTTTGGGAAGAGCTTCACATGGTTGCTTCCTCTCCACCTAACCCTTGGGTTCCCAGTGGAGATTTCAATGTTATACGATGGTCTCATGAGTCAATCGCCAAACAAGAATCATTGACAGCATGACAAGTCTCGGATTTCAATTGCCGTAATAATTTTATTGATATTCTGCTCAATGGCTCTTCTTTCACCTAGTCCAACCACTCCTCCAATCCATCCTCTCTTAAGCTAGACCACTTTCTGGTTTGCTGGAGTGGGAAGAAAATTTTCCAGGAACATGTTCCCTCACATTGGCCAAACCCACTTCAGACCACAAACCTATCATAAACACAATCCTAACACCTCTGACCTTGAGGTTTTAACTCTCCCGACCAGAAGAACCAAATAATTTGTTCCGAAGCTGGTGGTCCTCTTGTGTGCACGGATGGACAGGAATTAGGCTTCAAAGGAAACTTCAACTTCTGCAAAACTCCATTAAGGGTTGGCATCAATCTAACCAACCCCAGGAACTTTCTCTTTCTCAAAGCCTCTGTCCTCAATGAAATATAAGACCTTGACCTTGCAGAAAAATCTAGAACTCCATCCTTAACTGAGGTAAATGGGGGAACGGAAGCTAACTCTAAGTCCCTTATACTACTGTAAAAAGAAGAAGGGAAGCCAACTCTAAGTCTCTTATTCTACTGTAAAAAGAAGAGATCTTTTGGGATCAAAGGTCTAGTGTGAAATGGCTTCTAGTTGGCGACAAAAATATTGAATGTTTCACAAAGTAGCAAGCTGTGGCTGCTGTGTTAATATTATTATGCACATCTCTATGGGGCAAAATGCCTTTCAAGAACCAAACTCAGTTGATTCTATATCTCTTTCTTTGAGCAACTTTTTTTTCTCACTGTGATTCCTGTCCCCATGTAGGCTGACCTTTCTTAATTGTCTATCAACCGGGACAAAGTGGCTTTGGATTGAGAAAAGATTTGAAGCGGCTTTGGCTTGAGAAACAATTTGAAGTGGATGCAGTCTTACAAGCAAGTTCCAATCTTGGCAAGGACAAGCAGCGAGACCCCAATGGTTTCCTATTCTCTATTTTCTATAGGTTCTGGGACATCTTATCTCCTGAAATCCTCTCTTTGAGCAAATTCTTCCAGAGAGGAATCATCAACAAAGAAATGAATGCTGCATCTTCATTGCCCTCATACCGAAAATTAAGGGTGCAGACGATATCAAGGATTTCAGATCTATCAGCCTTCTCAACTCATCCTATAAAACTCTCTCTAAGATCCTTGCCTTACGAATTAGATCGGTCCTTGATCAAGTTACCTCTCCCAATTAGGGCAGTTTTGGTAATAATAGCCAGATTTTGGATGGCACACCTATTGCTCATGAAGCCATACATTACAGCTACCAAACCAAAAATATGGGGCTCACGTCGACTGGTAGACCTGGACCTAGTACCTCGCAAAATGAGATTAGGAAATATTTAGAGGAAATGGATGTTCGGATGGTTCTCTTGTTCCTCTTTCTCCATCCTAGTTAATGGTACCCCAAAAGCTCACCCCCAAGTTAATCCCCTTCACCTTTCTTGTTCGCTATGTTTGTTGAGGTTTTTGGTAGATCTCTTTCCAGACTTTTCCATAGCAACATCCTTTCTGGCTTCGGTAGGGAATGAAATTTGTCACCTATAATATACATAAGACACTTGTTTTCTCTGATGGAAATAATAAGTTAACAATTTATGGCTCTTCCATAGTGGCTTTGGATCGGCTTTAGGTATGAAAATCAACATGGCCAAATCCACACTTATGGGTATGGCTGTTACCAAAGCTCCTGAACTTTGCCAAGAGACATGGTTATGGGGTGGGCCAACTCCTAGTCAAGTATCTTGGTCTACCCCTCTGTTTGTGAGACCCACATAGCGGACTTTGGGATCCTATTGTGAAAAATTCCAAAAATGCTTGCCATTTGTAAAGCACATAATTATCTTTAGGTCAGTACGTCCGCCTCTTTAAAGCAACTCTTTCTAACATTCCCATCTATTTCATGTATCTTTTTGAGATGTCTGTGAGCATTGTCTATACCGAAGAACCACTTCTTGTCAAGCAACAATTCTAAGAAAAACTTCCATTTGGTATCTTGGGAGAAAATCTGCACACCTAAGAAGATGGGAGGGGTAGGCATCCACCGTCCTAAGTATATGAACTGGGCCCTCCTAGTTAATGTTCATGGTGCTTTACCAACCGACATGACCTTCTCTGGCAATTTTTTCTCCAAATATATGGCACCAATAATTTGGTTTGGATTTCGGTCAGGATACCCTTGTTCTGAGTTTTTTGAAAATTTCTTTGCCTGTTGTAATTGTTTCATGCCTTTCATCAGGTTCAAAGTTAATACATGAGCCAAGGTCCTTTTCTGGTTCCACACTTGGATCAGTCACCAACCATTAAAAGGTACCTGGCCAAACCTCTTTGCTATGGCAAACTGCCCCAATGCCCTGTTACAATTCATAGAATACAGTACCCAAAACCATACCCAGGTTCCCATCTTCAGGAGACCTCTACATAACTATGAGTATGACGACCTCCTAGCATTTATTGTCTGTTGGTTTCCTTTTTTACCAATTGGTCTAGCTGTGACAAGTGGTCTGTGCCAAGACACACTCAGGCACCTTCATGGTTGCCTCTTTCTACAAGCACTTGACTCTAAGACCTCTAGCCCACCATCCAAGCATATCATAGCATGACACTCACAAAAACCCCCCATAAGGTCTTAATCTTCACCTGTCTAGTGATGTCTAATAGAATCTTAACCTTGGGCCAGTGTACCCTCCAAAATGATACTTTCTTTGTGGGGAAGATGAAGAAACACAACCACCTGTTTCTTCACTGCAACTATGCTTATATTGTTTCGGCCAAACATCTCCAAGCCTTCAACTGGTAATGAGTTAACCCAAACTCCATCGATCATCTGTGCTCCCCTCCCTTTTCTCGGCAGGCATCTTCCTTTTAAGAGCCTCCATTTTAGAACTATTTGGAGGGAGAGAAACACTCGCATGTTTCATAGATAATCTTCACCTGTCTAGTGATGTCTAATAGAATCTTAACCTTGGGCCAGTGTACCCTCCAAAATGATGCTTTCTTTGTGGGGAAGATGAAGAAACACAACCACCTGTTTCTTCACTGCAACTATGCTTATATTGTTTCGGCCAAACATCTCCAAGCCTTCAACTGGTAATGAGTTAACCCAAACTCCATCAATCATCTGTGCTCCCCTCCCTTTTCTCGGCAGGCATCTTCCTTTTAAGAGCCTCCATTTTAGAGACCCTTTGGACTATTTGGAGGGAGAGAAACACTCGCATGTTTCATAGATAAAGAGAAATGCAACAGCCACTGCAGATTACCTCACATCCTTCTGAACTAGAAATTTTTAAAGTCCTCAAAGGTTTCTCCAAGACAGACTTTGAATCAGATTTTTTTTTTTTTGAAGTTGTGACTTTGAATCACATTGGCCCAATATTCCTACCCAAACCATCATGACCTTCATGGTTGACCTTTTGGAAGCCAACAACTGAAGGGTTCATTATGCTCAATGTATTTGGATGCTCTCTGGGAAACCTCGGCCTATGGGACAGGGGAAACTTGGAACTATTCTCTCATCCTTTTCTACCCACATCGGAATTGGAGACTCTACATGGGCCGAAGCCAGTGCATTTCTCAAAGGACTCAATAGATCTAACTAAGACTGGGGTATTTAATGACTATTATATGAGCGATTTATGTAGACATGGTTTGACGGGTTTTATTACCACTTGATGACATTTCTTCTCTAAATTACGAGGACCTCCCAGCTCCCCTACGGCTGTTGTTTTTGCCTAAGTTGCCCTCCTGTTCAGCAATAACAATGCCGGACATGAAGGCCTCTTCTTTAATAGGCCAAGCACTATCATGCATGAGTTCGTTTACGTACATGGAATTGTTTCTATTTTGTTGAGCTACATATAGTGCTAATGGGGGACCAAGTTGTACATGTGGTTCTACAGTGGGAGAACTGTTTCTATTTTATTGGGCCATATATGGTGCTGATGGGGGACCAAGTTGTACATGGTCCTACAGTAGGAGCACTTTGTTAGAAAGATTGTTATAACATGAAATTTCGAAACATTCCAGATTGACGGATCGCAATATGAAGGCATTACCTATTAGAATTTTTCTCTTTTCCCATTTTTTTTTCTCATTTTGTTTTTTGTAGGTGAAGTAGGGGTCCATGACTCACTTTTTGCATAGTACTAAAGTTTCATAGAGGAGTGAGATTCAATTATTGAAAGTTCAAAACCAATCCTTCTAAAAAAGTACTCCTACTGTAGGACTAAATGTACAACTTGGTCCCCCCTTAGCACCATATATGGCCCAACAAAATAGAAACACTTCCATGTGCATAAACGAACTCATATGTGATTGTACATGGCATATTAAAGAATAGGCCCTCCTGTTCGGCGTTGTTATTGCCGGATAGGAGGGCAACTTAGGCAAAAAATAAAAAGCTGCCGGGGGGGGGAGGGGGGTGGTGGTCCTCGTAATTTATGGGAAAAATGTCATCAAATGGTAATAAAGCCCTCCAAACCGTGTCCCTACGTAAATCGCTCATATTCTATCATGTTCTTCAGGAGAATCCTTATGCCCTTGGATACTAACTCATTTTTTATCACTTTTTTCACATGTTGCTGGCCACTATCAGGTGCCTTCCATCATACGTGGCAGGAAGTGTATACATAATCGGACGCATTAGCCAAAAAAGCTGCAAATGGAGAAATGTAGACAGTGTTTTTCCGCTCCTCTCTCTCTACATTCTTTCAAAATCTGCTTTCTTGCCCTCCAACCCCCCCTTCTCTACCTCACCTTTTCACCATGTGCTCTCACTTTCTCTCTCTCAATATGTCTTACCCCTTCCTTTTCTCTTTTTTCCTTTTGTTTCCTCACCTCTGTCGAACCTGGGCCTGAAACTGTTTCTTCTCTCTCTCTCCCCCTTTAGCATCTCCATCTTTTCTCTAACTCTCTGCCTCTCTCTTTTTTTTCTCGTTTGGTGTCCCTATCTCTGCTCGATCTGTTTCTCTCTTTGCTATACTTTTCGGGCCCCCTGTCTTGGTTCTGGGCCCAGACTACTTTTTATATATTGTAGTATAGCTTTGTGGAGCACTCTACATGTGGGCTGCCTTTTTTCCACATCTTGTGGGTCTTTAAAAATTTACATATACTCATTAATATATTGTCACCAGTTATTAAAAAAGATATTATTATAAAAAATTAGAAAGAAATTTTAAAAATTTCGTAAAATTTCTCTTTCCTTATCATTTTTATCTATCTATTGTGGCTAGTTGGATATAACCTTTGATCACGGACAAGATACTAATATTAGTTTGATATTTGAATTTTTATTTTTTTAAGTGGTTTAGTATATGGATTATCAAAAAAAAAAAAAGTGGTTTAGTATATGACTACTTACATTGTGACTTGAAATGTTTATTATGTTTTTCTTAAACAATAATGTTTTCCGGCCCTCTTAACACACACACACACACACACACATACACAAACACATGCATGGATGCGCTATTTTTCTAACCTCCATTTTTTTAGTCCAACCCAAATGATTCACGTTCTCTTCATTCTACAATTTGGAAGTGCTCCATTTTACACCGTTTTTTTTGCTCTGTTGTTTTGGGCCAAAACCGAATTAATATCAGTTGTTTAATTTATAGATGTATTGCTCTAACCTGAAATTTCTAGGTATGGATCACCTTTTGAAGCTTGCTTTTTTTCACGTTCTTACCCACACAAAAGACCAAAATAAAAAGAAAATGGAATATCGTTTTTTGGATATTTATGAATATATGTTTTTTCTTTTCTAGACAGTTTGGAATGTTGTATGAGCCTTAACTTTTAATCCTCTTCCACTACACAATGAGAATAAGGAAGAGAAATTGGTTTCTATTGCTTTTGCTGCCTCCCATTATTTTCTTGAGCAGCTAACTGAAACATTGTAAACGTATACATGCTTGAAAAACTTCAAATTCCACTATCTTGTCAGGGCAGTTCTCCTCACTTGTCTTTTTCACATGATTCCTTAGCAACTTCTATTTTGTCATCATAGTTTGATATTTCTCCAAGCAGTATGTACTACCCATAAAAATGACTCTTTTTATATTTCCTTTTTGTATACAGGGATGGTCAGCTAATTCTCGTTATTTTCTATCCACTTCTCTTGTATTTCAACCCTTGTATTTCCGACACCCTAGACATGCTATTCGATCATCCATGAATATGGTTGCAAGCGATTCTGGAGATTCCAAAAAGATAAAGTTAGATCAGGCCATTGGTGAAATCCGAAAGGTTTGGGAAAGTTTTCCTGAGCCTATAAAAATCTTCCCATGGAAGAAAGCTTTTGTTAATTATGTCCAACTTATTGTGGGGATAATATATGGGGTAGCTAAATTTCTGTGCATACCATTACTAGCAGTTTCATCACTAAGCGAGATGTCCTACTGTGCACACGAGCAGAAGATGACCCTTATACCCCTTCCCCTATTGGCTGGGATTTTTGTGGCAGGGGTACTGAAGGAAGCTTCAGTGGAAGTATCCAAAGATCTCCAGGTTAGAAGTTATTTAGTTCTTTTACATAGAAAATATGTTTATAGTATCTCTTAGAGGCCTCCTTTTATGTTGTAAAAGTTTATTAATATTGATTTTAGAAGTTTTCACTGATGTTTGTACCGTTGAGTTGTTAATCACAAATGATTGAAATTACAGGAAGGAGATTTTCCCTGGCATCTAGTTGCTATTGGAGCTTTTTTCACATTGCTCAAGCTTCTTGGGCCATACTATCCTTATTGGGGGCGTATACTTATTCCACATTTTGCAAATGGTGGGCTTTGGAGAACTCTTTGGTTTGTTCGTCTTTGGTACTCAAGTACCGAAGGCAAAACTAAAACCACCTCAGAGATATCTTGAGCTGGAAGTCAATTTTGGAGAGAACTTTTAACTTCGTTTGTTTGGAAAAAGCTGTTGCAGTCTTCTTCTAGGATATGCTTTGGATATTATCTCACTAGAATCAGATGAGGGGTAAGGCACTTTGAAATTTGTCTATTATTTTGCACATGTGGCAGTTTCTCTAAATATTTGTCAGAATTTTGTGCCTGTGAGGAAGAATTGGGTTCCATTTACTTGTGTTAAAAAGAATATGGGACTTCAAGTGTTTCTGCGATGAAGGTGACATTTTTCATGTTAATAGTCTGCGAGTTTTTATTTGGGAAAGCTCTGAGCTTTGTAGGTCCTCTGGGGTTGTGTTGTATGGTTGAATAACTGAGAGGTTCTTGTTTAATTCTTGAAGAAAATGGATATCTCTTTGCCCTTTTTTTAATACGTTCCCCTATACCATGTTTACACTGCAGATATTATGTATCTAATTGCATCAATCTGGTGTGGCTTACTAGCAAAATAAAGCCGAATTTTCATCAAACATACTTGGATAGATGCACTCTTGCACACTCATGTATGCCTGCCTGTGTAGACATGGTTGTGCACATTCGTACAACATGTAAATGTGCAAAAAGTCAAGCTGAGCATGTAGGACTACCCCAAAGTGACTTGGCCTGGTTGTGGCTTGAGCCAGTTTAGTTACCATATACCGCTCTAAAAAACTCCACGGCTCAAAAACTCAAGCAATAAGCTTAGTTGCTTGATTTCTTTAAAAAGCCTGGATGAGTTTAGTAGACTCCAGGATGTTTTTCTGTATTTTAATTTCTTTCTTTTAATGATGAAGACTTAATAAATGTTATAAAAAAGATTATGCCAAAGACTTTGAACTCATAAATCAAGGTCAAACCCCCCCATTAATGGCAGTTTGGGTCTCTGTTTTAGAGTATGTGTTCCCTCTTAATCTAATGTGTTCTTTGAAGTTCCTAGTAACTTTCATTCATCATGCTTCAAGAAAGGTATAGGAATATTTATAAAATCGAAACATCATGTGTTTGAGATCTTTGGAACTTCCATGCTAAGGTGGAAAGAGAGACATGCAAGTTGTTGACGTGATTCTGTTGAGACAATAGGAGAGACTACACCTCAACGTGTCCAAAGGCAACTATCTTAAGACATAAGGTATGAGAAAATAGTGCCATATATCCCTCAGCATCATGCTGTAGCTAAGACATAAGGTATGAGAAAATAGTGCCATATATCCCTCAGCATCATGGTGTAGCTAAGAGAACGAATTGTACCATAAGGAGCATATGCTATCTACCGCCTAATTGCCAAAGTCATACGTGGGTGAAGCAGTTCCTCACAACATGATACCTTATAAATAGATCTCAATCATTTCTTTTGGGTAGTGATATTGGGTGAAGGCATTTGTGCATGTGCGCAATAAGCAAAGATTCAAGTTAAATGAAAAAAATGCTCACGTGCATCTTCTTGGGATACTTGGATGAAGAGTTCATCTTAATGCTATGGGACCCTGAGAATCTGAAAGGTGATTAGGAGTAGAAATGCAGTTCATCTAGAAAACTTTATAATTGAATATGTGACGAAGAAGCTAGTTAAGCCACAAATCCTCAATGACTAGTAAAGTCCAGTTAATGTTCCCACCACCATGGTGCAAGATGAAGACGGGGAGAGGTGCAAGAAGAAGAGCAACTGCATAAATCCTAGGGGAGTGACATGCTAGTGTTCCAGATGATCTGAAGCAAGGAAGTAACCTATCCATCAAAGGTCACTTGCAATTGATATGAGAAGGTCCCCTAGGGAATACAAACCCTTGAACATATAGAGTATGTCTTGTACACTAAAGGGGTTAACCTAAAAGCTACCAGGAAGCTTAGATTGATCAATACAAGGACAAGTGGGTTAAAGCTATGCAATAGGAAATAGATTCCTTTCGTATGAACCATACCTATGATCTGGTCAATTGCCTAAGAGAAAGAAGATACTGAAGAATAAGTTGTATTCAAGCTAACGGCTGAGAAAAGAGCTAACAACCAAGGTACAAGGCAAGGCTGATTGTGAAGGATTTTAGTCAGAAGAAAGGCAATTACTTTGATGAAATTTTTTTTTCCATGATGAAAATGTTATCAATTTATGTGCTGTTAGGTTTGGTTGCAAGCTTGAATCTATAGATTGTGTTTGGATATCAAGACTGCCTTTCTCCATTTTTATTTAAGGAAGAGATCTATATTGAATAACCAAAATGTTTAAGGTAAAATAAAAAAAGAACACATGGTTTGTAAGTTGAAGAAAAGCCTATATGGGTTGAAACAGGCTCAAGAGCAGTGGTACAAGAAGTTTGATTCCATCATGTAGAATTGACTACAAGAGAACAACCTCAAATTATTGTATGTTCGCCAAGTTCTCTAATAGTGATTTTATCATCATTTTATTATATGTTGATGACCTGTTGATTATCGGTCAAGATAATGGCATGATTGACAAGTTGAGGCAAGAGTTGAGCAAGCCCTTTGCCATGAAAGACTTAGTTGCAGCTGAACAAATCTTGTATTGGTCTATAAGGTAGAGATGCAAGTGCACATAACCTAAAAATTTTGTGCACTTGATCCTCATACAACCTTTACACGTCACAACCAAAATTTCTTTATTATTGATACATAAATTAAGACAAAGGTCGTAATAACTCTGGAATTATACGTCAATGAAGAATTATATCAAACACCTACAAACTTCAACAAATCCACTTCAATTCAATTTCCTACATTGCAAATCATAAACCAACGTAGAAATACAAGTCATGAACTATGGGGAAATGAATTTTTGCCTAAAATTTCCTAAGATCACCTTCACAGAACATAGTACACCCCAATACCAAATCTCCTCCTCAATAGTGCAGGTCAAAAGGGCCCCATAGCCTACCTACAAGTGGGAAGCCAATAAGAACTTACCATGTTTCTCTTTGGACACTTGGGTGGACTGATACAACAACAATGTGTATATTCTAAAACTCTCTCGCATGGTCTAAACAATTTGGAGACAATTGAAACTTATGGCTATGGAGAATGAGAGCACAATGGAAAAGTCTTTAGACCAAAGAAGATATGAGGTATAGAGCTCTTGGCTCGTGGAGCTGTGACGCTCCCTCTGACTCTCATTTCGGTGGTAAGAGTCCAGAATTTTGCTTCGAGAAGAATAGGTAACTACCGTGTTTTAGCCCTTTCATATGTGCAAGGAAAATGGAGGTTAAAATGACAGTAAGACTTGGGGCTCGGCTTCTCTCGGGCTTAAGGGGGAAGCACCACTGGAGAAGGAAGTTAGGGCAAAGCATCCCAAAGTTATTTCCACAGCCCCCGCAGCTTCGGTCCACTGGGTGGCTAAACTGGAGTTGGCCATGGTGGGATATTTTTGCCCCCCTATTGCAGATGTTAGCCAGTTCCAAGAATGGGCTTTTAAGGTGTGGGAATGAAAAGTTGTGAGCAGATCCATCCCTGGAATTAGGTATCTTATTCTTTTGGCTCTAAGGTGGATGCTAGTCAGGTTGCGAAACATAGGTTTTGAAGAATTCACAGAGCTCCTATAACTTTATAGTGGTGGAAATCTAAAGCAAATCTTTCACTTATCAAACCTACATTCTCTTGGCTTCATGTTAAAAGTATCCCCATTCAGACTTGGACCAAGGAGGTTTTTGAAAGGATCCTTCAATAATGCAGTAAACTTATCCAGATTGATTGTTTATCACCACAGGCTTCAGCTTGGGTATTCTTCAAGTAAAGTTGATGTTATCCTCAGAATTGAGATCCCATAGTCATTGTGCTTAAGTTTTATGGTAAGTTCTTTAAGGTTTCCATTATCCCTAAAGCTTGTCCCTCCCCTACCCAAGCCACTTCCAGAGCTGATCTTCCTCGGTGGCTCCTTCCTAGGAGAGAGAAGTTTTATCCATAAAGGGTAAGGAACTAGCTCACAAAAAGAGTCGATGACACCTGGTTACTAAGAAAAGAAGGAGGAACTTACCATTGAGAAATTTCAAAAGGGGCAGAAAGGAGACCAAAAAAGGGTGGCGGGTAAAGGCTCCTAGTTTTGACACATGTTCAATGGAGGCATCGACATGTGGATCTTCACCAACCTTTTTGGCTGACCCAGGCAAAAAGTTCATGTATGGAAAAGCGCCGGTTATCGAGGTGGTCAATGCTTTTGATCCCTTTGGGCAGTGGGAGCATGGAGAGACGTCTCGCCAGCACAGCTCATCAGCCTCAGATCGGACGGTCCCTAAGCCACGTCCAATCAAAAGTTTTGCTCCAGGTGGCTCCTCGCGATCTCCCAAATCTTTTCTTCCCAACAAGGCAGATGGTATTATAGGGAAGTATGATTTGATGGCCCAGATGTCGAGATCACAATCTATGAGGAGGGCTTTTACGGTCCCAATGCATGGTGATCAGATCGAGATGTCACATTCTCTCCTCCAGGCGGTGCTATCAAAAGGCATGTCTCTGCTTAATCAATTGGTGTCTTTTAGTATCCCAGTTGCCTTTTATAGAAGGACCCTTGATTGAGACAAGAGAACCAAAAGACAGCTTTTCCCTCTGGTTCATTCTCGTTTCCTTTGTCTTCTTCTCTCCCTTTAGCTGTCTTTCTCCTTGACTCAAACCTCCCACCATGACTACCCAGAGGGTTACCATTATTGAACTCTCACAGGAAAAGCCCATCAAGATCATCGACCCAACCACATTTAACGATCTCCCTGAAGGGGCTTCTAAGATGAATTTCTCACTTTGGGACCATAGCTTCTTATGGGGCCATATTTCTGTCTCGATGCCATCCCTAGAAGCTAAAGCGGAGGATCTCTTCAAGGCTCTATTCATTGTCAGATCCCCCTACACTCCTCCTATTGTGGTCACTGAGTCTTCTGACTCTTCTTCTTTTGAGGATCTTTCCTCGTGCATCCGTAACTGGATGCCCAGCAAGGTAGAGAAAAAGAAGGTGGTTTGGGAGAAGGCTACCAAGATGGTTCAAATGATGGGGGTTCAATTCAAGGGCACTTTTAAAGTTGTTGAAGACGCCTTGAAGAGAGACGAGATTTAGTTGGTTTTTGACCCCCTTGCTACTGGCTCCTCTAGAGTCACCAGGGGGGGGGGACTTCAAGTCTACATGAAGATAATCTCCTGAAATGTCAGGGGGTTGGGGGAGATTTGAGGAGGAGATTGTTGAAGTGGCTCATTTATTCACACCGACCGCATATTTTACTCCTCCAGGAAACCAAGCTTACCACCCTTGATGCTACCCTACATTGCTCTTTTTGGTGCTATGGCCCTTTGGATTTCTTGTTTTTCGCTTCGGTTGGTCTCACTGGAGGACTTTTAGTCTTATGGGACCATTCTGTGGTTAAGGGTTCCCGCTTTTTCTCGAACCCATGGATCCTCACCG